TGCACCATCCTTATTCCCCAAGAAATCTGATTCTGATTCTAAATGTTATTACAAGAGCACTCATTCATGTTTGCAAATAGACTTACAATGGATATTCATGGTAATAATATTGCAGTAGGGAAATATTCTACAGTATAAACTCCAATAAACTGTAGTTTATATAACGGAATACCTAACATCGGGTCCAATGAATAAACTAAACGATGTGCATTAACCTTGATACAGTTCAAAGACATGCTTTGGGTGGAAAAAAGCAAGCGGTTGAAAATAAGTCTTTGTTCTCAATTCCCAGATTAAACTAAAGACAACTCCTTACATTTGATCTTGCATTCAATTGAAGTTTTATAATGCACAGACTACTTATACACATATGACCTGTGTTCCTCACAATACCAGTTCAAGAGGTAGGTGCTATTTGATACATGAGGAAGTGGAGCTTCTGTGGTTCAGTGACTTGCCTGGTCTTATGATTTAAATACCATCACACACATTTGCTTCTTTGGGATAAAGAGTCTTTTGTTTAAAAAAAGTCTTTGGGTTCTACATCCTGAGCTTGAAAAAATGTTCTGTATGCCAAAGATAAAGGAGAAACCACTGGGAATATTTCAGATACCTTCAGCAGTTTCTCTTCCTTTTTGTTCAGTTCAGTGGTACACAATGAACGAAAATTGTTAGTGGGGCCCACCTGGAGCGAGTTTGCACCAAGCAAGCCAACTGTCAGCATGGGCTGTGTACCACGTACCACATGCAAGCTGATGGGGCCCGGCTGCCTCTGACAGCTCAATAGGCACGACTGGTCGGGCATCAGAATACTCTTCCTGCAAGATCTGAATTTCTTGACTTGCCAAGCATCATCTCCCTGTTTTTTGTTTTAGTCTCTTCTTTTTTGTCTTCTGCCTTGGTATATTTTCCATTTCCTAGCCACAGACAAGCTATATCATACTTATTTTAAAGAAACACTAATAACTCCAGTTTAGCAGGTTAGAATTAAAACAGATGACAAATGACCGATGGTGGTAAATTCAAAGACCCAGATGGTACAATTATATACATTTTATATTTTACAAAAATGTTTCCTTTCTCTCTTTCCTCCCCCACCCTCTCCCTCTCTTCTCTCCTCCCTGGCTTGCCCTCTCCTTTCTTCTTGTTCCCCCCTCTCTCTATCTCTCACTCCTTTTCTGCAGGAAGTTCCAGTCAGTAGTAGAGACCTTCATACTCAGAGGGGGTGTTTTTCCTGGTGAACTTGACGTCCTTCCTTCACATACCAATTTTGTCACAGAATGGGCAAAGGGAAGGTTTGCCAATATTACCAGTACAAGCAGAGGGCCAATGTCTAAAACAGTCACACTGAAAATAAAGCACAGGAGTTTAAAGGGAGGATACACAACAGTTTGAGAGAGAACATGGCATAGTGGTTTAGAGCATCATGTATGAGCCACGAACACCTGAAGAGCAGCTTCTCCAAACTCTGTTGTTTACACAAGTTACTGAACATCTGTGTGGTTCAGTTTGCTCACGGGATTAAGTGCGCATTTAGCACAGCGGCAAGCACATATTAGACACACAATAAGTGATAGGTATAAATATTAAAAGAACTAGAAATTATAGAATATTCAAGCCCAAACTAGACATACTTACTGGTGGGCCTGCTGGTCCCAGAGCCCCTTTATTGATTTCAGAACAGGAGCAGGAATGTGGCAGTTCTGGGCAGGTCTCCTCATCCCTCTGAGAAAAAAATTTTTTAAAAAGGCATGACTTTAACAAGACAGTCTATACCAATAGCCAAAGTGTTTCCTTTAAGTCCATCACAGCCACAGCATCACTCTAAAGCTTTGGGACAGGAGATGATTTTTTTTCCCTTGGAGAATTTTGTTGCCAGGTGACATTACGAGATAGATTATGAATATATCTGAATGAGTTACTGGAGTGTAGAGGAAGACAGAGCACCTGCTGAGAGCCAGTGAACAATTTGTGAATATCCCCTTTGGACCAGCTGCCAACATAGAAGTCTGCCTTGGGATCAGAAATTATGGAACTTCATAGGGTTCATCAGTCCCTTTGGACAGAAAGAAAAGGGGCTTCATTATTTAAGACTTTGGGGAAAAGTAAAGTTAGAGCTGGACAGAGCACAAATGATAATTAAATCATCACACTGACAATAATCTCAGTCTATGATATATTCACAACAGAAAGCCAAAAATGGTTGAGCAAAGAGCCTGTATATGCTGTTCTTTAAATGCTGGACAAAGTCAAAGCTTTCAGCCCATTACAGGAAAAACCCCTGCTAACATGTCTGGTCTGATACCTGGGAAGCCAGAGTGAAATGCAAACTCAACCTGAAAAATCCCCAGGAAGGCTGACAGCAGTCCCCTGTGACCAGACAGTCAGTAATGGTCTTGCCATTGCTGTTGACTGGGTCTCCATCCACATCTTCCTATGATGGGATTTATACAACCTCAGTGACAGAAATGCAAAGAAAAGCCTCCTGGTCCTCGGAGAAGGACTGATCACATTTTGCTTGATACAACCAGGGATTCTGAGCATTTCCCCTTGAAATTTCCAATCTGCCTTCACCTAAGCATAACATAACAGGGTCTCTGATGTAACTTCTCACCAGAGTTTACTTAGAAATTTACTTTAGTGAGAAAGAGTAAGCTATTTCCTTCTCAAATGTCCCCATAAATTTACTGCCTGCAGTAAATGATGTAATCTGGTACAAACACTTAAAAAGGCAAATCTCTTACACTTCATGAAGCCCACTCTCCAGGTTTAATTATTAAGACATGACTACTCTCCAACCAAAACAGGGTCATCCATTTTTTTTTTGTCTTCTGCCTTGGTATATTTTCCATTTCCTAGCCACAGACAAGCTATATCATACTTATTTTAAAGAAACACTAATAACTCCAGTTTAGCAGGTTAGAATTAAAACAGATGACAAATGACCGATGGTGGTAAATTCAAAGACCCAGATGGTACAATTATATACATTTTATATTTTACAAAAATGTTTCCTTTCTCTCTTTCCTCCCCCACCCTCTCCCTCTCTTCTCTCCTCCCTGGCTTGCCCTCTCCTTTCTTCTTGTTCCCCCCTCTCTCTATCTCTCACTCCTTTTCTGCAGGAAGTTCCAGTCAGTAGTAGAGACCTTCATACTCAGAGGGGGTGTTTTTCCTGGTGAACTTGACGTCCTTCCTTCACATACCAATTTTGTCACAGAATGGGCAAAGGGAAGGTTTGCCAATATTACCAGTACAAGCAGAGGGCCAATGTCTAAAACAGTCACACTGAAAATAAAGCACAGGAGTTTAAAGGGAGGATACACAACAGTTTGAGAGAGAACATGGCATAGTGGTTTAGAGCATCATGTATGAGCCACGAACACCTGAAGAGCAGCTTCTCCAAACTCTGTTGTTTACACAAGTTACTGAACATCTGTGTGGTTCAGTTTGCTCACGGGATTAAGTGCGCATTTAGCACAGCGGCAAGCACATATTAGACACACAATAAGTGATAGGTATAAATATTAAAAGAACTAGAAATTATAGAATATTCAAGCCCAAACTAGACATACTTACTGGTGGGCCTGCTGGTCCCAGAGCCCCTTTATTGATTTCAGAACAGGAGCAGGAATGTGGCAGTTCTGGGCAGGTCTCCTCATCCCTCTGAGAAAAAAATTTTTTAAAAAGGCATGACTTTAACAAGACAGTCTATACCAATAGCCAAAGTGTTTCCTTTAAGTCCATCACAGCCACAGCATCACTCTAAAGCTTTGGGACAGGAGATGATTTTTTTTCCCTTGGAGAATTTTGTTGCCAGGTGACATTACGAGATAGATTATGAATATATCTGAATGAGTTACTGGAGTGTAGAGGAAGACAGAGCACCTGCTGAGAGCCAGTGAACAATTTGTGAATATCCCCTTTGGACCAGCTGCCAACATAGAAGTCTGCCTTGGGATCAGAAATTATGGAACTTCATAGGGTTCATCAGTCCCTTTGGACAGAAAGAAAAGGGGCTTCATTATTTAAGACTTTGGGGAAAAGTAAAGTTAGAGCTGGACAGAGCACAAATGATAATTAAATCATCACACTGACAATAATCTCAGTCTATGATATATTCACAACAGAAAGCCAAAAATGGTTGAGCAAAGAGCCTGTATATGCTGTTCTTTAAATGCTGGACAAAGTCAAAGCTTTCAGCCCATTACAGGAAAAACCCCTGCTAACATGTCTGGTCTGATACCTGGGAAGCCAGAGTGAAATGCAAACTCAACCTGAAAAATCCCCAGGAAGGCTGACAGCAGTCCCCTGTGACCAGACAGTCAGTAATGGTCTTGCCATTGCTGTTGACTGGGTCTCCATCCACATCTTCCTATGATGGGATTTATACAACCTCAGTGACAGAAATGCAAAGAAAAGCCTCCTGGTCCTCGGAGAAGGACTGATCACATTTTGCTTGATACAACCAGGGATTCTGAGCATTTCCCCTTGAAATTTCCAATCTGCCTTCACCTAAGCATAACATAACAGGGTCTCTGATGTAACTTCTCACCAGAGTTTACTTAGAAATTTACTTTAGTGAGAAAGAGTAAGCTATTTCCTTCTCAAATGTCCCCATGAATTTACTGCCTGCAGTAAATGATGTAATCTGGTACAAACACTTAAAAAGGCAAATCTCTTACACTTCATGAAGCCCACTCTCCAGGTTTAATTATTAAGACATGACTACTCTCCAACCAAAACAGGGTCATCCATTTCAGCTCACTGTCCCTAAAAAGTCTAAGATACGAATCTATTTTTATACGTACAGGTTAACCCTCATGAATTATATTCAGAATAATGAAAAACAGTTGGTTGTCTAGTAACATCATATGGTTATATAGATTATGACCACAATTCCAAAACTGTGTGCCAAGGTAGCCTGGTGCACCACAGCAAACTCACAGGAGCACTGTGAATGCTCTAAAAACGAAAGCACAACATCAATTATTACAGTATTCAGCACCCACTGGACTTCATAAGAACAACTAGTTAAGGTGGTTCTCAGTTTCAGCATTAGATTTTGAAACATTTTTTATGATGATGTCATGTATTTGCAAATCTGTTTATTGGCAGTTGCTACAATGGAAAGCAAGCACCATGGGGAAAATCAATGTGAAAAAAGAAGAAAGGGTGGCGATGTCTGATCAGATTCCAGTATGAGAAATTGTGCATTTCTGATAGGCATGCACATCCCATTAAGTAAGTAATTGCAGTTATTGAAGAATAAAATTAAAATATATTTTCCTTTCAATTTATGTGTATTATTTTCATAATGCTACTGAGTTGTTCGGACATAAACACTTAAGATGTCTGGAGTTCATTACTTCATAAATGGAATTGTTAAATATTGCTTTTGGCTTAGGGGTGCCATGAAAAAAATCATTGCAACACTAAAGGATTCGTGAACCAGGAACTATGGGGACATTGGGAGTCTGTGTCAAGGGCAAGCCGTGGAGTGGTGCCCTTCCTACCATGTATGTTGGGGTGTCCCGCAGATTTCAGACACGCTTTCATTTTAACTTCTTTCTACTTTGCATGATCATCACAATGAATTATCTTTGATGGGGTTTTGCAAAATAGCATTTCATTTTCAGAGACCCTTAAATAGAACTTTAGAAAATTTCAATAAAAAACAGACCAAATAATGAAAGAAGAATTCTTACCAGGCCTGGAAGCTCACAGCATTTGTCACTATCAGCCCATGACGTGGAACAAACAATATCAAACATCTGTAACTGGAACTGCAAGTTAAAAAGAAAATTGTCATTCAGTACAAGATATATAGATTCATTAGTTCATAATTATAATGATGTCACATGATATGTCATATACTAGAACACTAATACATTTATAACATAACATTATAGCAAAGGTATATAAAAAAGTCATTCCAACAATATCAAACTAGTTTTGTTCCTCACACAGTGATTTAAGATTTTTGTCCATAGTTCATCCATCCACCATTCAAACTCCATCATTTTCCCGACTTCCCCCTCCTATCTCTACCTACAGAAGCTTAGCACCTCTGTTGAAACCTTCCCTGTACACTACCCATCACAGTTACTCCCAGTGCCTCTGTAATCCTTCCACACTCCATGTCTCTTTTATAGCACATCCCCCACCACACAAGTATTTATAGTATCTCCTCCTTAGAATATTAGCTCTTCAAGGGCTGGAGAACCACATACTCATTTTTATGTTCCCTATCATAATATGTACTATGGAATAGGTTTTCATGAAGGCTTACTGAATTAATTCTGACTGCACTCATTTATACATCCATTCAGCAAACATTTTCAGTGAAAAATGCAAGCCAGATATTACGTAGACCTTTAGGTTGCAAAAATGAAGAAAACCAGAATCTTGCCTTCAAAGATCTTACAGAGGGTGAAAGGCAGACACATGCATACTGTTTACAACATGATAAGCATCATGACAAATTCACATACAGTAGTATAAGGCTTCGTGCTAAGTGTATTCTTATTTAAGCCACTGATCATGCCATAAATATTTAGACACTCTTGTTCTACTCATGTATGTTGCCAATAACTCAGTGTACATTTTGAAATATACAGAAACATCATTATAGTATTCTTGAGGGCTAACACTAGCTTCATGACTCTATGATTTGTCATTATATTTCTTGCTGTATTATTTTCAAATATTAAAAGTGTCATCAATCACCGAGCCGAGAGAAGGATGAAGTTCTTTTTGTTTTAAATCTGCAACCTTACTTCAGGATGTGGTGTTTTCAGCAAGAGCTAGAAACTCTTGACACCTTATTTTCTCCTAGAGAATACTACTCATCCCTGTGAAGGGTCCCGTGGATGAAAGTGGGCATGTCCACGCAGATGGTACTACTGACATCAGTTATAAACAGCGCGGGCAGTATCAAAAAAAGAGCCTGACCTTTCTGACAGCAACGAGAAATCAGGCTTTCTCTGTCATCCTCAAGAAGAACCGGTCCTTGCTGCGAACATCATTCCCCAAGTGAATTTTGCAAAATTAATAAAATAACCCTTAAATTTTGAAAATGGACCCATGAACCGAGGCAACATAGTTTCTTGTTTCTATACACAGCTACTGTGTTATCTGAATATGTGTATGGCTCACTGCTCTTATTTTTTTCCAGATTAAAAAAAAAATTCCCAAAGAGTGTGATAGCTATGTCTATGCAGGGCAACCATACCACAAATTTATGATCATTAAAATATTGGGTTTTGGTAAGTAAAATATTTTCAAAGAATATGGCTGCTAATTTTTCACAAACAACAGTAACAAAAATATTTCAAGAAGCACAGGGGTTTGGAGGCTAAGGAGCTAGACTGCCTGCATATAATCCTTGAATCCTTCACTCACAAGTTAAGGCATTTTGAACAAATTATTTAATGTGTTGGAGCTTTAAGTTTTCTCATCTGTAAATCTAGTACAATAGCTATTCCAACATAGCTACTCAATAGTGTGATAATAGTAGCTATAACAATAAAATGAGTTAATATAGGATAGTATTTAGAACAGTGCCTGGAATACAATTATTAAAACTACTAAATACTCATAGACAGCCCTTTCATAAGTGAATTCTTTAAGGTGCAGGAGTATATAATACAAAGGCCAAAACAGTAGACTCAAAATGAAAGTGATACAGTATTGAGAGCAGAAATATGAGAGTAGTTTGTTTCCACAATAATCATATCTGTTTAACGTTTTGGTTGAGAAAAATCTTAGCAAAAAAAAAAAAACCAAGAGCAGCTGACATTTGTTGAAAACCTCCTATGTGCCAGGAACTATCCTGAGGCCTTTCCCTCTATCATTTAATCAGATCTCCACTGGGAGGCATAATGATAGTAATGTCAACCCCATTCTGTAGATTAAGAGCAGGAACAAAAGACCCTAAGTAATTTCAGCATGTGTTGAAAGCTGAGTTTGGTGGGGATTTCAAGCACACTTCATTTACTTGTGGCTCAGTTTGCAGTGAATGGATCTTTGGTCTAATGTTTAAAATGCAGATTTCCCCAGCCTAACTTTACAATGCCATTTGTCTGGGGGCGTTTAATGAGTCCCATTATGACAGCACTAGATAGTCAGTTAAATCTGTAAGTCATTCATCCATTAAGACATTTTCCATTTCTGAACAGAGCCCTCAGCAAAATAGCACTCCAGTGAAAGGAAAGATTTATTTCAAGCAAAGCGCTTTTGCTAGACTCCGTATGTTCCAGGCTTTCTTGTAGTTTTACAAATAAACATTCAGCACTGATCACCTATAACAGTATAATGTCTACATATAAACCTTTGGCTAAACTTATCCTGCCGTATTGTGTTATTGGGATTCTTATGAGTTCATTTTATTTATTCAAGGGATTAAATGCCTACTAAGTGCTGGATGAAGCCAATACTGTCCTTTTAGGAATGCCTGTAGGCTGTCTTTTCGTTTTCAAGTTAGATGAAGTCAGCAGCCTTTTTTTGTGTGTGAGTACAACAAATTTATTCATAATTGTTTTCCATTTGTAATAGTTTAGATTCCTCAGCTTTTATTTAGAGACTTCTTTTCCAAGGCCCATTTCTGAGGATTAATTAAAAAAACAAAAAACACAAAAAAAACCCTCTAACTTTTATTCCCAAAGCAATGACACACATATTTGTACAAATTATGTAGGAAAAAGCACAGAGATGGTATGTCAAAAGATCTGATATTTGAGTGCCTAAAAATGCAAGACAAGATGGTTCAAAATAAACCATACTTGAAGCAACTAATGTAAGAGACAATCCCTTTTCACTTGTTACATTTTTTCCTTTGTAAGAAACTGAACATTATTTTTAAAAAAGATCTGTGCAAAAAAAAAGAAAGCTAGAGGGAGATTCATTCCCTCCTGCTTTCACTTTTTATAAGCTCTTTCGAGGGCATACTTGGCCAATTACAAATGCTCCTTTCTCATTATTAGACATTTTGGTCTGGGTGTAGCACAAAAGGCAAGTCACTTGGGGTCAAATGTTAGCATGAAAATAAGATTAAAATATTTCTAGGCATTTGAGTCACTGTGATCTGTGAATGGGAATTAAAATGTACCCCTGGCTCAATTTTCCATTTTAAAAGTACCAGATTTTATCCTCTGATTTTTTTCCTACCATAACATAACTAAACTTACAATTTAAAGTCAAGATGTATCTGAACTTATAAAATACTTAGAGAAGCTTCACATTGCACTTGGACACTGTAGACAGAATCACTGGGGGCCTAGGCCACCTTCTGCTTTTCATTTGGTGTTGAACTGCTATTGACTCCATCTGAAAACTAACATTTATTAAGCATTTAGCACTTGTCAGCTACTGAATGTAGTGTTTTACATGCTCACAATCAATTCATTATATTTAAGGGAAGCCATGTTGGTACTAATTAAATTAGGAGGTGACAATTAACAGTGGTTGTACTTACTGGTAGTAATTAGAATGTTTAAGAGTAGATACACTTGGCGAGGGAACATTTTGATCATATTTACATTCAAGGTCATAATTCAAATAATGGTGAGTCTTTGATCCTGTCAGTGAACAGAGAGGGCATATGCAGAGGTCAGGGGTACAGACCAGGACCCTTCTCTGCATTATGTTCCATAATAATCAATCTGACTCAGAGGAAGTGAGTTTAGAAGGAAGGCAGGTAACCTTATGCAAGACAGTCACAGTCTCATATCTCATTTTCTTCACCTTTTGAAAAGGGATCTCTCCCTAACTTCTTCAAATCTCACTTTCTGTATCTATAAAGTGGGGATAACATAAGTATCTCTTTCTAGAGTCACTGGAAGATGAGGTGAGATAATCTTGGAAAGTACACACTGCCTAGTCCATAGTAGGCATGCAACTACTTTCATTTTAAGGATTAAAAGATATATTAGTGTGAAACACATTTTCTTGTAATCTAAAACACATGTTTCCATAGGATCATTGACTAGTCTAATGTTGATTCCTATATAAAAGCTTTAACTAAGTAAATAAAATTATAAACAACTCCATAACATAACTTGTATTTGTCTTTATCATTCAAAAGAGAGCTAAAGAAATGCCAACTAGATAATCATATAAATGTGAGATTTGAAAAGGTGGAAGAAGGACATTAAGAAACATCTTATTCCAGAAGCTCAAAAATTTCTAGAATCATCCCTGACTGGCAGCATTATAATTTCATTATGTAGCAGAAGAGGTAAAAGAAATTTATTAAGAAAAAGAGGATTGTAAAGAAGAAGAGAGTTGTTAAGCTTCTTGCCACATGTCTTTTGACAGCCTGCTTATTAGTTGAGGCCCACTAGGGACTGTTGCTGCCTATAATACCTTGCATTGCTGAACAAGTTATTTTTATTACAAATGTGAGTAATTTCAATACAGTAGTTACTATATCTCTAAATTCATTAATCTCTCCTCTACTTAAGTTTGGTTTAAAAACAATATATTTTCTTTAAAGACTGAATATGTAGAGTTTTTCTGTCATCTGGCTTTTTTTGTTTTGTTTTTCTGAATAATTGCTGAATTTGCCAGGGAATGCTGACCTATAAACAACTCATTACTCTTATATGATAATCTGTCTTCCTGGAACAATCCAAAACGTGCATATTACACACTCCCTCTTGCTGGGTATGAGAGTACAGATGTATATCAAGATTATGCTAGCAATCAGTGATTTCTAAATTTAAAACCAAAATCAAAGCTTCTCTCTTGCCTTGCACTGCAACAATTAAGTAATAACCCCAAAAAGCAAATGAATTTTCAATCACATTCTTGAGGTCTAATCTAATAGTATCTATTTTGGCATAATCAAATTTTTCAATAAGTGGGCAGACTGAAAAATCTATTTAATAATCCTTTGGAGATGTGTAGATCCTAACAAAAACCACAACTTTTTCCTACCAGTCTGACAAAGAACTCTTTAATTATTGACTTCTATAAATTCCCCTTTGTCTATTACTTGTTGGACATACCACAGAGGGTGCTCTGTTTAATTGCTTTTCTTCCATGGTCAAAAGTAAAGATTTATCACCAGTAGGACTGAAACCTAGAGGCACTTTTGCTTTCAGAAATAAATTCTCTGATATTTACTTGGTCATATATTTGGAGTACAATTATTACATACAGTGTAATTTGAAATACAATTATTATAATTGTAATTATAAAACTAATTATAAAATACAGGTTATAATTGGGAGAGGGTACACCATGTATTACTGAACTTATTAATATCACACATAGAATATAACAGATGCACAACAACATTTTAAGACAAGATGTACTACAATTCAAATAGATGACATTCTATTTAATTTCTATCCAGTGTTTCTCGAGAAATTATTCTGTTCATATGAATTTATTAGGAACTGTGATGTGGAATAGAAGGGGGTGATTGTAAACATGACTATGATGGTTTCTACTTTAAATGATTTTTACTCTGGCTAGAAAGGTAGAATGTAGACATAGGAAAGAGCAAGAAAATAAGGTATGACTGCAAAGACTCAAGTCTTAATAAAGTACTAGAGGTTTAGAAAATGTAAGATGGGGAAAGTATTATTGACATTCTTCACTAACAATAGCTGCTTTTTATTGACTGCCTAAATGTCAGGGATTTTATGTGCATTATTTCTAAAAAAAATAATAAAAATAATAGTACTAATCNGTTCACCATGTAAGAATTTATTCACTATGTAAGAATTCGTTCACCATGTAAGAACTTGTTCGTTATGCTTCAGAAGATTGGAGACTGACGAGAATTAGGCTTGAGATGGATTAATGATTGTGCATTGAGCATTGACCCCCCTATACAGAATTTTATTGTTGTTAACAACCATTTGATCAATAAATATGAGATGCCCTCTCAAAAAAAAATAATAAAAATAAATAAATAAAAATAAAAAAAATAAATAAAAATAATATTACTAAGTAATTTGTGCCCAGAATCTCATATACCTAGAATTGTTCCTCTTTCTCAGAGTCCATTCATTCATCCTTCTAAGCATGGATGCATTCATGGATCCAAGCATTTATCCATTCATTTTTATATATCCATTGATCCATACAAGATATCCATAGTTCACTAATTCTGGAGCCTTATAAATCCTGGAGTATGCTATCACAAAAGTATCTATCGTGAAACAGAAGATGGGTATTTCTCAATCAGCATGAAATACCATACCTTAAGAGGGGATAACTACTCAATATCATGTCAATATTGTTAAATGTCTCTTACCATAACTAAAAGTAAGAGAACCTTCCAGAGATTTTATATTTTCTCTTTCTAATTCATAGTTCTTCAAAGCAAAGGAGAAACAAAAGTACTTTTAAAGATACCTCAATTGAAGTGTTAAACTAATTAGCATACATTTATCAAGGTCTGAAAGCATCAGTGTCATCATATGTACACAAGATTTCATTTTTATTGTTACCCCAAAGAGAAATGCCAAGAAATAGCAAAGTGTCCCAAAGAAAATCCCTTTACCATGCTGGGACTGTTGGCCATAGTGGGTTCTACTAGAGTGGGTTCTACTAGAGTAATGAAATTAGAACTATGTTCTTTGGAGCTTCCTGAGGACCATTAGTGGGATACCTGCTACCTCATGTGCCCTCTCCTATTCAATAAGCATGGGTCTGTCTAATTTCATTGACTTGTTTGATATACTCAAAATTTTCATTTGTACAAAGTGATCTTCAGCTTAAAAACACTTTGAGAACCACCAAACTTTCTAAAGTTCCATATAGCTGGCTAGTTCTATAGTTCTTTGAAAGCACAAGATAATAAGAGTGATTCATAATTAACTTGATTATTCTGTTACACAGAAGAAAAATGTCAATTATAATAGTTGGAATTGTTTACTAAAATGCCCTCCAGGCTAATTGGTTCTAATTATAGAATGATTCCAATTAGAGAATGTTGTTAATTAGCTGTAAATGCATAGTGTTAAAACAAAAATTTACGTCACTATCCTTTTTTGTGGGAAGTGAATGAAGGGAATGTGATTTCTTTGGCAGTAGGAAGTGTCCCAGTCTTAAATTCCATCTTGATGATGAAAAATTATCTTAGAATGATTTATTACTTAAATAACTACTAATGATTAATGGGTAAATTTCACGTTAGCAGTAACAAAAATCTAGTTTTAAAATGCTCAAATCTAACCCAAATGAGAGGCTTGTTTCAATTTCCTGTGTATACTAATCATACATATTGTATGAATTTGCTTACATAAATAAGGCTTAGAGTTTTGATTCTCATTAAAAAACCATTTATGCCACAAAGCATATGATGAATATTTGACCATCTGAATTTTAAAATGTCTTAGGCAAATAAACTAGCCTAATTCCTGGAGCATTTTCCCTATTATAATATAGCAGAAGCATACAACAAGAACTTTGAATGTATGTGTTCATTGATTTAATGAGGCTGTTATCTATTTATCCATCCATCCATCCATCCATCCATCCATCCATCCATCCATCCATCCATCCATCCATCCTTCCATCCATCTGTCCATCCTTTTATCAAAACTTTCCCTTGGAAAACAATTATATTTAAAAGATTTCTTTTTCTATAATAATAACAGAGCTTCCCTTCTTTATCCACTTACTGGTGCGGAGTTTCCCTTTGATCCTTTTGATCTAACCATTCTCCCTAAGACTTCTACGCCATCCGATGTGACATTAGCCGAAGCATTTATCGCCTTCTCACCCACTTGCTTGCAGTCAACCACCACTCTGGCCAAAGTCTTGCTGACAACAATGTGTAGCTGGGTAAAAATAAAGATAAGAAGTGGGAAGAACTATCAACCAAATTTAAAGAATTGTATGGACTCATGCAAAAAATTAAAATACGAAGAGAAGGAATTCTGTTACAATGCTTTTTGAGAGAGGTTCTACTTTTACCACCACCTCCATGATTCTCTCACATTCAGATACAATCTCATTTTTATTAATTGTTTTCTTTAAAATGACTTTGAAAGGATTCACTTAAAAATCTAGTCTACCTCTCAAGCAGCAGCATCTTGAAACCACAGGATTGTCGCTCCAATTTTGCTTTTTCCGAATGCACATTAAAATAAACATGAAAATACAAAAATCTTAAAAATTCTGGTTGATTTACCAGCAAAAGTTATCTACAAGACTACCAGTGATTAACAACACCCTTTGATAATATTTATTTAGTTTCAGCTGAGTTAGGAGATCTAGAGTCTGAAGGGGAAGGAGGAGGATGTCTGGGGACTCCAGGCCCAGATGAAATAAAGCCTTTTGGTTTGACCTATGGCGCGGTTTTCTCAAAGTGGAATCCCTAGAATCTGGAGGTCTGTGGTAATATATTCAGGAGTCCACACATTCTTTGTGAGAATTTGTACAAATTTCTGTTATCAGGTAGGTGAGAGTCAAAAGGAAGTATATTCTAAAATGAACCACACTGTCAGCAAGTTCTGCCAAGAGATGTCGGTGCTTATAAATGCATTTCGATTTATGATGGTGTTTGCATCATGAGTTCTTGTTTGTGGAAGATTGCTTGCTTTTGTTTAGTGAGCTACAAAAGTGGCATTAATAGGCAAATACTGATTCCGCATCAAGTGAAAGCTAAAAGATGTTACAAATAGCTACATAAAGGAAGGTATTATGGTGGTTCAAAGTGGAAAAGGGAATCCCAGTTACCGGAGTTGTGACAAAGTATCATTTCTCACGGTTTTCATCTCCCCTATAATTTTTCTTGACTACTCTGCAATAGATTCTGCCTAACCAAGAAAAGAGTCATGTCAAGGGGAACTTGATGAGTAAATGACAATAACTCCACAGAGATGCTAATGGGATGATTTTGAACCACACACTAGAAAGTCTCTACCTGTGTCTAATGTTTTTAAGATAACTTGGACTTCTGGTTGCTAATAAATCAAAAAAAAAACATTTTGTGTAACCTTTCTTGTGCAAAAGAGTATGAATTTTGTTTTGCAATTGTTCTTATGCAGTGCTGGTATTCAAAATCCCAGAGTAGCAAAATAGCAAAATCCATCAAATGAGATGGATTTGACCACGTTCTGGGTTAGGAGACAAGCCAGCTTGAAGACTGCCATGTTACAACCCTTCCCCCAGTCTAACAGGGCAAGAGGGGCGTGGTTAGGGGGCAAGGCTTTTGCAGCACTGCCGAGTGGACTCTCTGCTGCCCTTGGGGTCCTGGTGTTGCGTTCCATAACAGCCCAGAGATTCAGTGGGAGCATTCACTAAGTACAAAGAAACAGTCAGTGTTGGAAGGAGAAGCATGTCTATGCCAGTGATCACCAAGAAGAAGTGCTTCAGAGATGTGAAATCTAAGGAACAGAGTTCTGTTACAAGTGCCAGGTTAAAATAAGAACAACTAAAGTCAAGTTTTACAAACTTCTTCCTCATGGTAACATTTATGATGGCAGTGATGGGTTTATATATATATATATATGTGTGTGTGTGTGTGTGTGTAAATATTAGTGCAATCTCTCTGCTCATTGTAACATGATGGCTGTGTTTTCATGTGCATTGGTGGCCAGGTAGACCAGCAATCCTTTCTAAATCACATATAATATAGCAAATTAACTATCATCCATTTAATAATATAGTGCCCTCTACTACATTGTTCCTTAAAGTGGGAACCTGGACCACATCTATGAATATCTCCTGGAGTACCTGCTAAAAATGCACATTTTAGGGTTCCATTCCAGAACTACCAAATCAGAATCTCTGGGCATTGTTAATAAGCCCTGCAGGTAATTCTTACTCCAGCTGAAATACAAGATCCCAACCTTTATGGCTTTTTTTTTTTTTTTTTTACGTTTCTCTGTTCCTTTGCCAATAGCAAAGAGAATAAAGAATATATGTAAACAAGACATTACTCACCTTGTGAAAGCTCCCATAGAAAATTTTCCTAATTTCAGGTCCGTCAAAAGTAGCCGTTTGAAAATCCCCACTATAGTCATAGTTGAAATATGTTAGGGTTTTTCCACCATCTAATTAAACAAAGAAAATTAAGACATTTGAGAAGGTATTACAACGGGTAAATAATTTTTCTAAAATTCAAGTCAAGGCAGAAAAGAAGGCATCCTTTGTTTTGAGCCTGTGTTAAGAACAAAGTGATGAGTAGTAGGGAAATGATCTACACTTCCTGGGTTGCCCCAGGTGTTCAGTTGGCCAGGTTAACTGACTAAACCATGTGATAATGATGAGGACTATGCATACATTCTTCCTCTGCTTCCTTGCCTTAGGTACTCTCATCCCCATCACTCTCCTGGGAGATGGGTATCTGAAGCTGGGAATAAAGGGAGAATGAAGTTATTCAAATTTTAAGAAACCAGACCTTTTGCCTTATTAACCCTCCAGTTGGAGCAACCAATTTTCCCAGGACATGCAATTTACACCACTCCAAAATAGGGACAATCCCATACGTCTTTTACAATGAACAACAATAACAAAAGACCTTCCTAATATTGAGTACTTCTTATTATAAGGACTATTTTATTACAAAAAAATTGGAATATATTTGTCAATGATTCATTCGAGGTTACAATTTAATTCTTCACTCTGTTTTCAAAAGGAAGAAGCTAGTCTGGTTTTGACAGACCAGCTTAATTGTTTTGAGAGACTTCTTTATTTTCAAGTCCTGGGTCTATATGGAGTTAGTTACTTAGACCCTTCTAATCTACAGCTTTCCTTTAGTTTATCAATGCAAAATGCTTTCACAATATCATACTTAGGTGTTGATTCCACGTACAAAAAGTTCTGTCACAAATACTAGTTGGAAATAAGCTTAAACCACTTTCCTTAGACAAATGTTTGAATTAGCACCTAACAATAGCCACCCAGCTTGACTGAAGCTCTAAACTAAAACTCAGTCACATTAACTAAAAACTTGACAATCCTCTTAAGTGATCACGTGTGGCACCTATATATGCTGCTGCCGATCTGACATTTTTTATGGGATATGATATAGGCATTGTGATATTTTCATATATAAGAAATATATATTTGATCATTTAGATACACCAATATATATTTTTCATATATATTTGGTCTTCGTCCAGAGTTCCAAGCTCACAGCTTCTAAGACCCTTGGAACTTCCTATGATAAGAGCGAAAAAGTATGTTTTGTTATATTAATGAGTTTTGGGAAGCCCTTAGGAAACCTAAGGATGGAGAGACTCAATCATGTGATTTGAGAGCTGGAGCTGTCAGTTTCACCCCCAACCCCACCTCGCAGGAGGGGAGAGGGGCTGGAGATTGAGTCCAGTTGCCAATGGCCAGTGATTTACTCAATCATGCCTATGTAATGAAGCCTCCATAAAAATCCAAAAGGAAGGGGTCCAGACAGCTTCCAGGTTGGTGAGCTCATGGGGACTGGGGAGAGCACTGTGCCTGGAGAGGGCATGGAAGTTCTGCCACCTACCCACATGTCTTGCCCTATGCATCTTGTCCATCTAACTGTTCCTAGTTCTATACTTTTATAATAAACCTCTAAACCAGTAAATAAAATGTTTCTCTGACTTCTGTGAGATACTCTAGCAAGTTAATCAAACCCAAGGAGGAGGTCTGGGAGCCTCTGATTTACAGCCAGTCGATCAGAAACACACATAACAGCCCAGCTTGCAACTGACACTTGAAGCAGGAAGTGGGGTGCAGTCTTGTAGGACTGAACCCTTAACCTGTGGAATCTAACGCTATCTCTGGGTAGATGGTGTCATAATTCAGTTGAAGTCTTGGACACCCTGCTGGTGTCTGAGAACTGCTTAGTGTTGTATGGGGAGCTCCCTCCCACCCCAACACACATGTTGGAACTGGGTTCCAAAAGAGCAACTTTACACCCATCATATCCATGTGCAAAAAATGACTTCTGGTCCCACCCTCCCACTGACCCCCTACCTCCATCCCTTCCACCCCCTCCCACCTCCTTCAACCTTGCTTTTCCTATAGTCTTCACTATTTTAGTAATTTCTCTCTCTACCTTGCCCACTACTGAATCCTAGAGTTTAGTGCTGGCACATAGTAGGAACTCAATGAATTTGTTGAAAGAATGAATGGATAATTGAATGTATCAACTGTTAGATAATTCATCATTAGTATATACACATGGCTTAAGATAAATGAGTTACTCTACAATATATACAAAACAGGGAAGAAGGCATGCCACATACATTACTCACATGTATGTATAAATATTACATAAATAAATATACTTACTATCTAAAATGACTCCAACCAATGGGTCAGAATTCTTATTCAAAATCTCCCAAAAAGCAAATGGCTCCTCTGGTGTGTCTGGGAGAATCCGGAATAGAAAACTGATTGTGTAGTCTGAGGGCAATCCTTCTGGATGCAAATACCTGAAAATGGAAGGAAGGTAACATTGTATTGTATCTCTCCTCAAAAAGTTGCTTCTCTGATTATAAAAGCAAATACACTTTCATTATGTAAAATCTGGGAAAAAAAGAAGGAAATAACATTACCACTAATCCCATTCAGAGACAATCACTATTTTGGTCTGGTGCATTTCCCTCCGGTTTTTAAAGAATGTCTGTATTTGTCCAATTTACACAATTTTGCCCCTTTCTTTTCTTAGCACCATTGACTACATATTTCATATTTCCTTAAATATTTTTAAAAGTATTATATTTCATGTCTGCACAAGCTTTTTGTTTGGCTGTTCCATAATTTGTCTAAACAGTCACTTCTTGGTGAACATAAGGTCGTTTCAAAGGTTTTAGGATGATAATGTTTCTCTATAGTCCTGTTGTCAAACTTAAGATATTGTCACTTTCTACCACATGTGGTAGTTACTTTCATTCCTGTCTGTGTTCGTGCTGTGATATACATCCAGATGTGCCCTCAAGAATTAAGAGTACGTAACTCCTACGGCTGGGAGTGCTGTCTGTAGACAGCTCTCAGATACCCACTCCCTTCAGGAGCTGCCTCAGCTGAAGAAAGAGGCCTCTCCTAAGGTCATGCCAACTTTTTTATGGCACCACTTTTCACTGGTCTTTCAGAGGATATAAGGACCAGAGTCTCTCATTCCAATAGAACATTTTTAGGACATCCTCATCAACTTCCCCACACTCTAATCTCTACACAGATCTGCTTCCTGGGGAACCCAACCTTGTACACCATCAAGCAGATCACTCACATACGTTAAAATTTTTCCCTCAAGCAACAAATATAGCCCTATACACATACAGGAACCCCAGAATAGTTACGAATTGGGTAAATTTGTGAAAATGTGGGAACTTAGCATGCATTTGAAAATGAAAGCTTGATTTGCATAGATAAAAATATTTCATTCATTCATTCACTTATATACTAATTCATTCATTCATTCACTCATTCAACAAGTATTTATTGAGTGCTAGATATTACAATAAGCATTTATGATACATCAGTGAATAAAACTGACACGGATCCTACCTTGACTTAAGTGTACAAGCACTTGAATTCTAACAGAGTGAATTATACAGCATATTAGAAGGTAGGAAGTGACATAGAAAAAAAAATTTAACCCCATAATGGGGATTGGGAATGCTAGAATGTCTTTGTCATTTTAATTAAAGTCATCAGCACTGGCTTCACTTAAAAGGCTTATTGCAAGGTTACGTTTGAGCAGGGTTCACTGAGGTTACATTTGCAGAAGAACTCAAAGGAGATAAAGACATCCAGCCAGTACAAAGACACCAAAGTGGGGTGTGCCTGGTGTCTTTGGAAAACAGACTAAAGGAGACAGGAGGTGACTCAAAGAGGTGATAAGTACACAGATAATGTGGGCCATTCAAGAGCTTTGAGTTTTACTCTGAGGGAAATGTGGAATCACTGGCAGATTTTGGAATGACTTGATGTGATCCACATTTTAAAGGAATCACTCTGACTGCTACTTGGAGAATAGACTCTAAGAAGGCAAGGGTCAGGTCACTAAGATCAGTGCTGGGACCAATTGCTGGGCTTTAGCAAGGTGGAGGGAATTGCTGCCTAGATGAGCAATTTTGGTGGAGTATGAGAGAATTTTCCCTTTGGCAATTCACATTTTTGGCTAGGCCTCCAGGAATGATTTTTCAAATACCCATTTTAATATTTATTGTTAAGATTATGTAAAAAAAAACCTGCCAATAGATAGTATAGATAGTATCAGATGTTGGCTTTATCTAAAACCACATATATTCTGTAGGGCAGATATTAAAGTTCAACCAGCATTATGTGTGAATCTGATGTTTTTAAAGAGAAATCTAACATCATCAAAAATACTACTGGGAACTATTACAGCATATTTCAAGTTGACACCATTGTCACAATGAGACAATAAACAAATGACTGGCTTTAATATCTTGCAATGGAAACATACTTGGTTGGCTGGGAAACCAGGGCATCTTTATGAAGTTGGTAACAGGGGTACACATTGAAGGTACCAGGCTCCATAGAAACCCCTTCCACAGAGGAGAAATCCTTTTCAACCAAACCAAACATTTCCATCATCTTAAATCCTAAAACAAAAGCCAAAGAGATAGATAAAAAGAATAAACAGGCACTTAGGGTTTTAAGTGTCAAAATTAGTCTATTAAAGATTTATAAACAAAATCTTGACCCCAAATAGGAGTTCTTTAATAAATTTGTATTTGGAAAAATTATGGCAATGCATACCTGCAAGATCAATGCCGTCCTTGTGCACCAGTGGGCAGGCTGGAGAACAAAACAAAAACAAGCAATATAAAACCCTAATTTTGGTATTTCCCAAACATATTCTTTCCCTGTCCTGAGAACAGGAAGCTAACATAATCTTTCTGGCCGTCAGTCGTTGTGGGAATCCAAACCAGATGTGGCTACGTTTTTCTGTGGATTCCTAAAGACTGAACTGCTCTCACTTCTATTACAACCAAAGGGCCGCAGCTTCCTTCTCCTGTCAGGGGCCCATTAAAATCTAGTGGTCGCTTGAGAGCATGTGTTGGGAGAAGTCTCATTTCTAATGTGTTGGCCTGCTGAGAGTCTTAATACAATTTTGACAACTATTTGCTACAGCTGTTGAAGCAGAGTTGATTTTAAACACAGACTCTCTTCTCATTAGGGGAAGTCTTTATCATCCTACAGTCTAAACCAGTGAGCGGCAAAGTTAAACTTCCATATGCTCAAAACCACAAAGCCTCATGTCTGCATAACAAGGACCTCTGCGAGTCCGTTTGCTTTCCTTAGATCAAGACAGGACTCTTTATTTATCGGGTATTAAATATTTCGGCCTTTAAGCAACATGAGTGAGTACAAATTCCAGAGAACGAACTTGCTGATGCAGTTTCACAGACGAAAGTAATCAGCTCATCTTCAATTTTCTTAAAGGCGTCAAAGTCATCCACGAAGAAGACGTGCCGAGCGCTGGGCTTGCTGCCAATGCTAACCAGCTCCGAGTAATCCGCATCTGCCACACCGACTGCGAAAATGCTGTATCCTGTGGCAGAAGGGAAACAGACTTCTGATGGCTTTCAATTGCACAAAATATAAATAATGCAACGTGAGACACATCCAAAC